TGAAAGCTCCTAATCAAGAGTGGAATGGTTTATTATTGGGGACGTCAAAATGAGAAGGCATGGTTGGGGCATTGGAGTCATAGGTGAACATTTAGGTGGATGGACCAAAATATGAAAGTAAGCATACGTGCTACGCTCCCTAAAGGTGTTATTAACAAACATCAAATAAACGAACATCATTCGCTGCCGCACTCTAAAGGTGTTATTAGCAAATATACAACAGTTAGTTCCGGCCATGCAAGCTGATTGGTTGAGAAGCGTTCTAACTGTGCTGATATTTCACCGTGACATCACAGGTTTTTCACAAACACTGTATCACTCCGCTGAGACGCCGTTGCTAAGCAACGACTTTGACAGCTGCCGGAGATGCTCAGACCATTTGAACGTTTTTACTTCTTACTTTGCCACAAACAGAAAATGGACACTTTTAAGATCACATTTGACCAACAGCCGATTTGGTCAGACTCTGAAAATGAGGCTACACTTAATTCCCAAACTGTCATCACCACTGAGCAGCTTTTCAGTCGGCAGCTGTGACAGAAGAACAGCTGAACAACCTGGAATCAGCCAGAAATGAACCCAACACCATTCGCCAAACTAAATGGGCTGTAAGATGCTTTACAGACTGGCTGGAACAAAACAACATTAATACTGATCTGGCAAAAAATGACAAAACTGAGCTAAACCTGATATTGCGGCAGTTTTATGGCTCAGTCTGCACTTCAGAAGGCGAGGTGTACAGCAGACTGAGCAGCGAGTGGACGGTGTTCATTACTCTGACGTAGCAACAAGCTGCTTGTTAAGGAGCTATAATTTGGAGGAAGGAATTGCGAACATTAAAACATATTAAACGCCGTGTTCACGACCCAATTTATTAATTTATCACTTTATTTATTTAACTGTTGTATAAAAGCATAGAACACTGGAGGTTGTGTGTTATCACACTCCCTCTCGTGTTCTATTGCTTAAACAGCAAATAAACAAACGTCACTCACCGCCGCCCTCTAAAAGCATTAACAAACCTTAAATAAACGAATGTCACTCACTGTCGCCTTCTAAAGGCATCATTAACAAACATCCAATAAACAAATGTCACTTGCACGACCTTCAAAAGGCATGATTGAAAACATCAAATAAATGAACGTCACACGGCGCCGCCCACTAAAGGTGCTATTGACAAACATCTAATCTCAGCGCTGCCCTCTAAAGGTGTTACCAAACATCACATAAACAAATGCTACTCATCACCACCACTCGTCATTAACAAACATCAAATAAACAAACGCTGAATGTGCTTTCTCCATTAGCTTACTTGTATTTTAACCATCTTAACTGAGTCATATCACACACTGCATGAGGTTACACAAGAAAACAAGCTCAACAAGCTGCTTAAATCAACATTCGAAAATGCTACTGTGTTGGTAGTTTTCTATGGACATTCAATATGGGCTCAAATCCTGCCGTTAGTGACGTGTCTGTGGTGTAAACGTCTTTGTAGTGTTGCCATGCTTTTCTGTTGACAGCCCCCATTCATCTGCATCTGCTCCTGTTATTAAATACACTCTGCTGCAGTCTAGTGTAATAGGCTTTGACCTCTGACCCTTTGTTCTGACTGCCGGTCCCGTAGAATAGGAGCTGTGACCCCTGAGTGCTAGAGGTTGGGGTCAGGAGGGTCTGTGTGTGAAAACATTCCTGCATGGCTGTGGTGTGAAGAGAAAGTGAAGGTCAGCTGACCCCATTAGAGCAGTGGAGAGCGAAGGAATCTGCAGCACATAGTGAGGCCAAAACGTGTATGGGAGACTGAGGGTCTTTATAGCTGTAGTAAAGAGTAAAGCCATAAACAATGTTATCATAAGAGATTTCTCCGCCAATATCAACTGACACAAATAATAATAATAATACAAATAATAATAATTCATTGTTATTAATAACTGAACTGAAGCAAGATGGGTGCTTGATTTTCTTCTCCCTCACAAAAATGAAAGCATAAAGTGCTGTTTAGTTGATGGGGTCAGTTTTTGTGTCTACCAAGTCTTCCAGGTGGTTGTTATGAGCCCCATTTTCTCTGAAGCTTTTAATAATTTTCCAAACTCCTGTTTTTTAGGGTTCAAGCATGCAGTGCAAGAACCCTATTGCTTTTGCTCTGATTTTTCTTCTTTTTCTCCTGAAAAACATGTTGTGGAGAAGAGACCGTAAGTCCTAGAAACACCAAACTTGGTGGGTAGGTGTATTTTGTGCGCATCTAGCCAGGCACCCAAAAATACCCCGAATGGCCAATTGGGGGTGCTATAGCGAAGCAAAACATGTTTTGCTATATAACTCCTAAACCAATTTTTTTGAGAGACAAAATTATTTTTTTCTGATTACTTGGCTCAAGACAAACTAATTTGCAATTTGGACCATTTAGCTCCGCCTACTTATATTAGTCTGTAAATTACTGTACATATTGGGAGTCTGATGGGGTCAAATTTTGGTCCCAACTGACCTTCAGGGGGCGCTTTTGCACTCAAAAACTCTTAAAAATCATTCAAAATGTTATTATAATGTCATTACCAAGTCTACCGATAAACAAATAGTGTCATTTGATTCAGTTCAATGAGCTGAATAAGTTTGTAATTACATGTTATATCAGAAGTTTCGCTTCTTGTCTGGTATTTTGGCTTAAATTTGTTTGGCACTTTGTACTTTTCACCATGCTTACCTATTAGGCCTAATTGGGCTGATGCATGCTTGGACCCGCTCATTGCCGCTTGCGGCTATACTTCCACTTATTCTTCTTTTGACTTTCTCCATCCTCACGCTAGTGGATTATCTTATATCTAATCTCCTCTTAAATATCTCCTTTAGCTATTTTAGATGCAGCATGAGAAAGAAAATAAGTGAAAAGGTGGTCTCTGACTTTTGCACAGTACTGTACTGGCGGGGGTCCTGTGCTGCCCTCGACCCGCCTCCGTTATCTGCAATCATGTCAGAACGTCTTTACAGTCTATTCATCTGAACACAGAGAGACCGTCTATGACAGTGATTTAAGAAAAATACCACCTGTGCCTCATGGGGGGGAGAGAGGGAGAATGGTTCTATATGAGCTCTAGGTCTCCCGCCCTCTCTCTCTCTCATCTGTCCTCATCAATGCAATTTAAATCGAAAGGCTTAGTCATAATTAAATTCCAGCGGGGCTTTTTTCTCTTTTTTGATGAAGGAGGTGGGGAGGGGTGGGGGGGCGCAGACATGTGAATGATGGGATGAAACGGGACGGGTTAAAGTGAAGGACACCGAGCGAAAGGTCAAAGTTCACAGCACAACCCCCCAACAACACCCCTACGGTACTCTATAATGGTACAGTCCGTCTGGCAGCACTAAAGCCTTCTGACATTTAAAGAAATGAATTAAAACAAGCAGGAGAGAGAGAGAGAGAGAGAGAGAGAGAGAGAGAGAGAGAGATGGGGAAAGAAAGAGATATATAGAGAGATAGAGAGAGAGCAAGAAAGTGAGAGAAAGAGAAAAGAGAAAAAGAGAGAAATCTATTATCCCAGACGTTCCCCAAACTGACCTTTTCTATTGAGCTTTTAAGGAATTTCAAAATAATTTTAATTAAAAAAATAAATTAAATCTGAGAGAATGAAAAGGAGAGAGACAGGCTGTAAAGGAGAGACGGAGAGAGCCAGTAAAAGAGAGAGAAACGAAAGAGAAAAACTAAAATAGAGAAAGAGATAAAAGAGATAGACAGAGAGAATGAAAGAGAGACTAAAAGAGAGCAAGAGAATGAATGAAAGAAAAAAGACAGACTTTAAAAAAGACTGAATAAAAGAGTGAATGAAAGAGAACAAAAAGAGAAAGACAGACAAAAAAAGACAGACTGAAGGAAAGAGTCTGTAAGAGAGAGACAGACTAATAGAGACAGTGACAGACTGAAATAGTGACAGACTGAAATAGTGACAAATTGAAAGACACAAAGACTGATAGAGAAAGACTGAGACAGACAGACTGAAAGAGACAGAAAGATTGATAAAGAGACAGACTGAGATGGAGAGACAGACTGAAAGAATAACAGATTGCAAGAGAGACAGACTGAAAGAGACAGTCTGAAAGAGAGACAGACTAAAAGAGAAAGAAACAGACTGATAGAGAAAGAGACAGACAATCGAAAGAAAAAGAGAGAGACTGAAAGCAAGAGACAGACTGAAAAAGAAAGAGAGGGGAGAGAGGAGACAACAGTAAGTGAGAGAGATGGGGGAGAAGAGGGGGAGAGAGAGAGAGAGAAAGACAGCCTGAGAGAGAAACAGACAGCCTAAAGACAGAGACAGATAGACTGAATGAGAGAGAGAGGGGAGGGGATAAAAGAATGAGTGAGACTAGGAAGAGAGGGGGAGAGAGAGCAAGAGAGAGAGGGAGAGAGCAAGAGAGAGAGGGAGAGAGAGAGAGAAATCAATTATTCCAGACTTCCCCAAATTGACCTTTCCTCTGCCAGCTGTTTGTTGGCTGAAGTTCAAAAGCGCCACCGAGGTCGAGCCTCATAGCTTGCCAACAGAGAGAGAGAGAGTGAGAGAGATAATCCCACACTTCTCTCTCTCCCTCTGTTCAAACCCATTCTCATCCGTCTTTCTTTCTCTCTCCGACTCAGTGTCACTCGCTTCTGCTCACACTAATCCTGTTACTGCATTCACAGACAGACCCCCCTCCCCCACTCCCACCGCCCCTCAGGTCCTTTCTCTCTCTTTCTCCCTCCGTCTCACATTCTCACCATCCCTCCTCCCTCGTCAGACCCTCAGAGACGGGGTCAGGCCAGAGTGACCGTCGAGAGGCCTTGACCTCAGCACAGAGTGCAGCAGACAGACAGTGCTGTGGTAGGTCTGTTCATTACATGTGACTTAGGACCAAAACCTGTAATCATAAACATCATAAACATAAACTGATATTATATTAATATTTACTTAGAAGAGCTTTTGGAAAGTTTTGCTCACGTAAAAGATCACTGACACACAAACACTCAAAACAATAGACACTTTCATTACATATGCTTTATTATGTATTAGTTAATACAGTTCATATGAAGTAGCAACCTTTTAACTTTTCACCACTCATAAAGGAGAATTCCACCACTTTTTAAAAATTTCTGCATAATTAAACGTTTAAGATGTAAACAGAGTCATTCAGAGTGGTTTGGTGGGAAACGCTCTGTTCTAGAGAAACTGACTGACTCAGAATTGTTCACAGTGGTGGTGATAGGAACCAGACGTCCACCTCTAAAAGCTCCCTCACAGAAAGTTGTTACATGAAATGGTTATGAAGTCTGAGACGATTGTTTGGAAAAGATTTTGGCCTAAAACAAAATGATTTAAACCCATTCATGGTGGAGGGATACGTGCAGGACATTGTGAGGCAAAATAGTCCTAAAAGAAAACTTTTTCAGATTTATCACTATTTTACCATCATCATCATCATTCCATACACAAACTCGTGTAGGTTCACTGGTGGTTTTGGATAGTAAATAAAATGTCTATATTAGTGTTGTAGTCATGGTGACCCCTGGTTCCTATCACCACCACTGTAAAGACATCTGAGTCTCTACATTGAACCATTTCACACCAAACCTCAAACTTCTGAATGACTCTATTTACATCTCAAGCTCGGAAATATTCTGTGGAATTTCCCTTTAAAGACATACTCCTAGTTTTGTATGCGGTGTGTTTATGTGAATGTGCAGAAACTGGACCTGAGTCAGAGACATTTCCTTCATTATTATGACAATATAAACATGTTCAAAATGGCCAGATTGTGTTGACCTGTGTATTAAAGAGTTTCCTCCAGGCCGTCACTGCTTTGTGCTTTATTTGTAATATTTTACCAAGAAAAGCTCCAGCAAAGTCCCCTCTCTGGCTGCGCTCTGTTAAGTGGTCCATTTCCACTCTGCAGTCCACAAATCAGCTCTGCTGGTCAACAGCCAGCAGACTCCCTCATTGCTCTCCTGGCACGCACTGACCGTAAATGATGCCGACTCACTGAATGACCAGCAGTTTATTAGCAGCACTGATAACTGAGGACACAGAGGCATGTTTACATTATAATGTAAGTGCCATAACCAAATGGTATTTTTGGTCAATATGTTCATGTGCATTGATACATATTCATATTTTATGACTGTGTTTTGTATTTACTATTTGTACTCTGTGTTGTCCATTCATGTCTCAGGCACATTATTCACACTTGGTCAACAATAAGAGAAATATTGTTGTCATTACAACAATTGCGCAAAAATATAAATTAAAACAATTAATTTAAGAATTTGTTCCATTACCGTTCATTGAAACCAAGATCAGCTCTGTGCATTTATGCGCTTGATCAGCAAATTAAAATCTTAATAATAGATTTTAATAGGCAATAATATCGTTATTGAGCTTCTGCTGCCATCTAGAGGCTAAACTGTGTCAAAGCAAGTCAGTTAGGATGGGGCACGATAAAAGGATCTAAATGTGACTGTAATCGTATCTGAACTTGAATACTACATATGTTAAAGGGGAATTCCACCAATTTTCCAAAATTTCCATACTGAGATTTAAACAGTCATTCAGAGTGGTTTGGCGTGAAATGCTCCGTTCTAAAGACACTTACCCACACAGAATTTTCAAAGTGGTGATAGGAACCAGACTGTAAAGCAAAATATATTCACTGGTGGTTTTGGGTAGTAAATAAATGGCTATATTTGTGTTGTAGTCATGGTGTCCCCTGGTTCCTATCACCACCACTGTGAAGAAATCTGAACCATTTCACACCAAACCACTCTGAATGACTGTTTACATCTCAACCACTGAATTCCGTGAAAATTTTGGAAAACCGGTGGGATTCCCCTTAGTTAAGTCTACAGTTTGTACTCTGCATTAACTAAAGGCTCTGGATACCAGTGATCCACTTGCCTTGGTGGATGACAAAACCTTTAGCAGTTCCTCTTCAGAGAATATGCCTGTAACGTGTAGCAGCAGTTTCTCTGAAACACATCCTGAGTGACTGGATTAAAGGTACACTCTGCGTTTACGTGTTACACCCATACATCACATTATGTCCATTTCTCCAGTGGCAGGATGCCCATGACCCTTCATAACCTAATGCTAACCATCACACGCTCCATAAATACCAGAAAACTCTCCAACACTCCGTCCGGTTGCAGTGGACCTTTCCCTCATTGTACCTTTAATGTCTGTGTTAGAGGTGCAGCTGCTCAGTAGCTGGTGAGGATGCTAAGTGTGTCCTGAGTGATTGAGTTAGAGGAGTGCAGTAGGACCCCCGGTCCGCCTAGGAGGGTCTCCCAGCAGTCAAACCCTGTTTCCTTCAGCTCCTGCACTGCCGCCTGCACCACCGAAGGCTCTGTTTCTAAAAAAAACAAAACAAAAAAAACAAACAAAACATACTTCAAGGTTAATGATGTTCCAGGTGGTTGCTAGAGTATTGCTAGGTGGCTGCTATGGTACCTTTGCTGGCTGATAAGTGATTGCTAAGGTATCCCAAGTGGTTGCTAGTAAGTATGTGAATTTTAATGTAACATCAATGAGGGTCAGTGTTGGAGGTGTCTATAGTGAAATTTCGGGAACATTCTGGAGTTTCACTTCCTCCATCAGACTAAAAGCAGAGTTTTAATGTACAAACCCCTGCTGTCGTGTCTCGCTCATCATCTGTACGTGACAGCCAGCCTCTTAACTGCACTGGTGCTCCCGAAATGACAACCGTGTATGTTATTGACAGCGTGCAGGTGGTCCTACAGTTTCCAGCCTGCAGCCCCCAGAGCCCATGGGACAAAGCACTAAATGTCTGTAAGTGTCTCTGCAGTCGTCTGGGAGCTTTTAAATGCACAAAGAAGTGTGTCGTTGTCAGGGAAAGCTCTTAAAGCCTCCTGCTGAGTTTGTTGAAAATGTGACAGGTGCCAAGCTTGTTTCAGTCTGAATACAAAAGCACTGAGAAACAGTTTGGATGAGCACGAAGAAGGAAACCACAGATCGATGGAGAAGGGCAGAACTGACGTTGTCCATTTTTTGTCCAGTTTGATGAAATGAACATTACACAGTTTCTGCTCTTACCCCAAATGTAGTTGATCAGCCAAGACATGACTGGTGTCTGAAGCTTCTGTAGTTGAGCTGGAGCTACAAGGCTAATGTAGCTCATAAATAATGGAAGCTATGACACATGTAGGCCAACAACAAGGAGAAGGTTTGTGGACAAACAGTAAGTTGGCTTGACTAAGCCAGATAAAACGCTTGAAAAGTTAAAGCACTTATACACAGCTGTTGATTCTTTAATTAACTTAATTGGGTTCATATAAAAATTCCAGGGGGGTTTCTAGGGTGTTGCTATGTAGTTGCTATGGAATTCCAGCTAGTTGTTAGGGCGCTGTTGCTAAGTAGTTACCAAGGTATCCAAGGTGGGCGCTGGGATGTTGCTAGGTGATTGCCATGTTATCCCAGGTGGTTGCTAAGATAGGGTGTTGCTATGGCATCTTAGGCCTCTATGGTATCTTGGGTGGCAGTTAGGATTTTGTTGTGTGTTAATTAACTTGACTGGGTTTATATAGAAGTTTCAGGTGGTTGCTATAGTGTTGCTAGGTGGTTGCTATGGTATTCCAGGTAATTGCTATGCAGTAGCTATGGAATTCCAGGTGGTTGTTAGGGCGTTGTTGCTAAGTGGTTACTAAGGTATCAAAGGTGGTTGCTGGGATGTTGTTAGGAGATTGCTATGTTATCTCAGGTGGTTGCTAAGACAGGTTGTTGCTATGGAACCTTAAGTTGCTATGTGTATCCTATGTGGAGGCAATGGTTTTGCTGTGTGTTCCAGGCTGTTGTTTCAGTATTGTTAGATAGTTGCTATGGTATCTCTGGTGGTTGCTAGGGTGTTGCTATGTGGTTGGTTTTTTCCTGAAGTTGACTGCTAGAGTAGCTATTCTGGTTTCTCTCAAGGTTGCTAATTGGTTGATACGGTGTTCCAGGTGGTTGCTAGTGCATTGCTAGGTGGTTGCTATTGTGTTTCAAGTGGTCACTAGTAAGTATGCAAATTTTTACTAAATGTCTATGAGAGGTGTATATTATGAAATAATTTGTGGCAGTTAGATTAAAATGTTCTGGACAGTCCACCTTTCATTTTCTTTCACTGGGGAAAATATTGTGAACAAATGTTGTATGAAAACATCTGATTCGTTCAAAAATGAAAAGCACACCATTGAATGGGTCTAGCTCACAAGCTGAAAGAGAATAATAATAACAATAATAATAATAATATGCCAACTTAATACTGAGTTTAAAAATGAGAACAGAAAAATGCATTTCAGACTTTGACAATGAACACATGTATATTAATGGCATCTTTTAAATAAAGAATGAAAGTGACAGCCTGCAATGTTGTGTAAAATTAGGCTGAGTTTTTGTTTTACAGAGGCATTAAATCAGACAAATGAGAGCTCTGTTGTCATGGTTGCAGTCCAAGCAAATCTGAATGATGGTGAGTACCCTAATCTAAAATAGCGACTGCTGCATTGGACTTGATGTGAAGCTTCCACTGCGTTAAAAATCAAGTTGTTGTTTTTTTTCATTAAAAAAATTGGTGTGAAGAGGCCTTCAATCATTACATTTTTAACAGACTTTAATAGACTTAATTATGTGATTTCTGACATGCTAGTTGGTGGAGCATCATGCTTTGAGAACATCGGCTTGTTTGAGATATAAAAATTGTAAGTAAACAAAGCAAATTACATTGTCATTTTTGTATTCATGGAAACTTTTTTCAATTATGCCATTGGTCATACACCAGAGACAACAATGATTAGTCCAGAAAGTTGATATCACCTGTGAAAGTTCACAAAGATCAAACAAGCTGATGCTCTCAAAGCATGATGCTCCACCAACTAGCATCTACTGCTACCCTAAACGTTCACATCACACTGGCTTTTTAAGATCTCAGACGTATAAATAAAGAATGTACGATGTCAGTTCTGCCTGGATAGTACAGATCAAAGTTGGTGAGGTATGTTTTAAAGAACTTGGATCTTTCTGAGAGTCAGTGTCAGAGTCTGTCAGTCTATACATGATAATGAGGAACTTAGGGGGCTCAGTTGCTCCGGCCCCCTCTGCGCGATGGGCCCCAGTGCCCCCACTGCAAGCCAAAATTTCTGACAGATGTCAAAAAGGGTAAAGCAGAAACTCGTTCTAAATTTTTATTTACCAAACTATGATTTAAAGCTTAATGGCGTGTTCTGAAATGACAGCTGTACATGCAAAGCTCACGCCTTTCAAACTTCACACTCCCTCGGCCCCCCGCCACTCCGCGCTCCACTCTAGACTTCTCCTGATTATAATTCCTCATACTACTGCCTTCAGGCATAAACAAAGAGAAATACAGCCTGTTAGCTCCATCAGTCGAGTGACAAACAGCAGCTGAGTCTCTGCTGGGTGCCACCTTAACGTGACACACACTCCAGACAATAAACAATCAGTCAAAAACCCATTAACACCTGCTAATCTGCTGTCAGCGTCTAATATCGGACAGTCATGAGGCCACCACGCTACATGCTAGAACATTTTTTATGCTAGAATGAGAATAGATGACTTGGTAATTAAATCTCAGTAATAGAATTTTAAATTAGTCTGGCCACTTTATTAAAAACACCTACCTTGTACTTCCACTTACTGGCCACTTTATTAGAAACCCCTACCTTCAGCGGCTCTGTGGTCAGAAACTGAGCCTTGATGAAGGACTAGAGGATAGCAAACACAAAGAGCGCATGACCAGATGAATAAGAAGAGGTTTCTGATAAAGTGGCCACTGAGAGATTATGTTTGTTCACATTATGATTCTCCTATGAATGCATTGTGTGCGAATATATTATAGTGTGAATAAACGATTAGTATTTATTATAATGCAAATGTTTAAGATATTAAAATATATGGTGCATATGTTGCTCATGTTGTGAATACACATGGCAGCTAACATTACCTGGTCGAAGGAGGGTGATGCCGCAGCCCCCTCCGCCCGCTCCGGTCAGCTTGCTGTGCAGCCCGTGGGCGAGTGTGACCCGACACAGGGTGTCCAGAGACGAGTGACCCACGCCCATCACGTTCAGGTGGTGCTGGTTGATGTCTATCAGGTCCTGAGGGAGAAAAATGCACATTCTGTCGCTGATACAGCTGCAAATGATTATTCTACAGCTAGCACACATGCTAACAGCTACGCTAAAGCTAGCAAGTCAATAACCAACAAGGCTCGTTCTGAATTAAACAGATGCGATGGCTCCTTTAAGCTAGCTAACAAGCTGGCTAATGTTAGCAGCGAAAGAAGGTTTTCCACAGAATAAACAACTACCTAAAATCTGACCATATAGGAGCACTTCGTAGTTCTACAATTACAGACTGTAGTCCATCTGTTTCTCTGATACTTTGCTAGCCCCCTTTGACCTTCCGGGCCAAAGTACTGCAGAGATTAGCTTTTACCCTCATCTAACGCTCTGAATTCAGTTCATGAAGGCCTTGCTAATTAGCTAATGAGTGGTTTTAATGCTATGGCTGATTATGTGTATCTTATAATTTCTAGACCACAACATGAAATAAACAAAACATAAGTGTTTAAAAGATGGCACTATGAGGGCGTGCAACACTTCTAACAATGCTAACTTTGTATAGTGGCGTATTTGTACCTCCAGGGTGTTGTAATGTTTGGCTGAGGCTCCCTCCGTGGCCATCTCAGCCAGAGTCTGCTCACAGGTCTGAGACACAGCGTCCACCGAGTCCAGCACCGGGGTCATTATAGAGGGATACTAGGGATTAAAAGTGGAGTGACTTATAACAACATTCATATACACATCGCCCAACATTTAAAGTGAGGAATAGTTGATAGTTGATCAGCCAGTACACATTTGGCTTCTTTTAGTTTTAGCACTGGCGCTAGGAGGCTAATGTAGCTAATAAGTAATGTAAGCTTACACACCACCAATTAGCATGATGCTAACTGCAGGCCTAAATCATCACACTTGCCTCAAACCGTGTGGAGTTAAGAAATCTTTACTGCACTTCCTGACACTGTACGACAGTGTTCTCTGTATAAATGGACTGAAGTATGCTAGCACTGCTAAAAACAGTAGCGGCAGCAAATAGCCTGAATTTTGTCTGTACTTCTGTCCATATTTATCGATTTTTGGTTTCATCAATTAAATAAGCACATCTGTTAAGGATTACTGAGCAACTCCACACGGTTTGAGGACAACGTATGATGATTTTTGCTCATTTGTATACAGGCTTCTGTTACTTGTTAGCTACATTAGCCAAACTACTGAAGTAAACTGCAGACACCAAACGTGTCTTAGGTTACTGGCTACATTTGGAGTTAGGGTACAGTTGTCTATATGTGATTTTTTGGGCAAATTATTGTTTAAAGGAATGCTAAATGGTATTAAACTCTGATTACTGGGGACGTTGTTCAGCTAAATACACAAAACGTGTAGTAAATAACTACTTCTCTGCACTGGTTAAATAAAGACTTGAGATTAACACATACTAACTACCAAACCATGGCAAACAGCACAGACCAGTGTGAATTCCATGCTGGTTTAAGCTGTTTTTTTGCGAGTCTAAACCTGGTGCTGGTTTAGCTGGACACCCAGCATGGTCATGCTTGTTGACCAGCAGACCTGCATCCAAAACACAACATATGCTGATTGCACTGCTGACCCTCCATGCTGGTCCATGCTGTTTTTTCGAGCAGGGAAGGCTGGGGCGTCTGATTTAGTTATTTATTTATTTTTCTTTCTCCACCCCAGACATCACAGAAGCGAAGTCGACCCGCAGACTACCTGCTGCTGTTACCAGGGCAACAGGGCACAGGGGGCTCTGTCTGGAGCTTTTCTAAAAGGCACACAGGAGCCCCTGGAGTGCCCCCCACCCCCCCGCTCCCCACCACACACACACAGAGCCGCAGGTGATTATGCTAATTGCAGTGTAAGGGTGTGAAATCACAGGAGGAAGCTCGAGGGTCTTCAGCACCTTGTTAATTTTGTCCTTCACTCCAGAAACCAGAACCTTGGTGCTGCGTGGCACTTTAGTGTTGGTGAGGAGGATCCTGAGCGTGGGCACCCTGAGGACGGAATTAAGAGCGATTATCAGGAGAACATGCTGAGGGTGAAATGATGTCAAAACAGAAACAAACTGCAGTGAAAATCAGTGTGTGGAACGGTGGACTGAAGCCCATCACTCTCTGAGGAGGGCCATTTACTGGCCTTCATCGAAAAACACTGTCAATGATAAAAACTAGTTATCTGGCTGCAGCCTATCAGAGTTAAGTGAGCTGTTAGGGGGCGGGGCCTAAGCTGTGGACACAGCCACACTCAAATGACTACTTTTTTCTGAAGAGCTTACAAATGATACAGGTTGTGATTTTTGAGGTTTATTTTTGAAACAAGACATTTTTAACAAACAAAATATCAACAATTGAATCGAATTTCAACCTTTATGATCAGTAAACGTATCAAACCTGAGGTGATGTATTGTTACATCACTAATACACACACAAACACACATGCACGCATACATACATACACACATGCAAAGGTTTTGACACCCCATGTCAAATTACGTGTTGTTGAGTTTCTAAGTGTAAATGAGTTTCTCTACACATTCTCTACAGAGAACACACTTCTGCACATTTTAATACAGGATTGCTTTTTATTTACTGAATTTAACAATGTGGCCTGTGCAAATGTTACGGCACATTTTATATTTTATATATTTTTCCAGCAAATAGAAATTGTGCTGAACATTTGCAGAAAACTCATATTTAAGTTTGTCCCTTGTGGAACTTAATTTCCCTTAGCAAATCAAAAAAACATGTTATTTGACTAGGCTGTTCAAACTTACGCATACAATCAGATATTAGAAACATTTTGGCTTATTCTGAACAGAAACTGTATTTTTCAGTACTCCTCTCCATTTGTTGGAACATAATAATAATAAATAATACATACACATCCAGAGTTCTTAGTGCTGTTCTGCTTTACAATTTAAATGTAATTACCGATTTAAGCCTCTTACCTGCTCAGTGGAGTTATCATCCCAGCATGGTACCTCAAAACACCCCCTAAAACACACACATACAAACACACACACACACATACAGCATGAGGCATCGGCACACTTTCCAAACACACATAATGCTGACATAATTATTACAGCAAATCACAGCATATTACAGCATAGTTGCTGTTATTATATAAAAAGTTGCTGTTTCAGATTCAACAGCAATAAATAGCAGCCTTAAAAGAGCTGCACCAAAGCTCACGCCTCACCAGCTGTTCAAGACTGCCTGTTGGTCAGGGCAGTTCAACTGATGTTTTACTTTTAAGATGCTTGTTTTGTAAATGAACTCACACATAGGCATTAAATCCACCATTTATATTTTAGATATCGCTGCTGTCCGAACAAAACTTTGTATCTCAATTTTTGTCATTTTTAAGCCAACTGACCTTTATAATGTGTTAAAATTTCAGGATGATTGGACCCACAGAAATGCTCCAAAATTACTTGGAAAAAAAATGCAAATGGTGGAGCACAAATTCTATTTATTTGCTGAGTTTGACATATCAAATACCAAATTTGCTTAGAAAATCAACTAAATATAATTTGACCTGATGCACCCAAAGTTTTGCATACAAATATATAATTAAACTGGAAATTAATAACTGATTGTTTAAATCAGTATGTGCAGCTTTATTTTATCCATTTTTAGTGCATAAGATGCCCACTATGTCTGTAATAGGAACCTCTGGGACAGCTGGGACCACTATATAGCCTTCCGTATCAATCCTGGTATTGTGCACATGTTTGTGCTGTGCCTACTCTACAACATCTGATTCATGAAGAGTTCAACCAAAGATCTAAACATGCAAAAACATAGCAATATGAATTGAAGGAGTTCCCCAGGGTTTAGTACTAAGAACCCCTGAGTTATTATGCTAGCAGCATGCAGCCTCACCCCATGTGCCCACTGCATTATCCACTCCAGACGGGTTCCCGTGGATGATCTTCTCGCCCTGAAACGCCCACTTATTGATCAGCTCCAGCTCCGCATCGCTCCACCTTCAACATACACAGCCAACAGGACCACATCACACACAGCCAGTCTGAATCTGCTTTTGTGATGGTCTTTTGCAGCCGGATTAGTTTGAAATGGGGAGGATCTATATTCAAACTTATATGTAATAATTTGAACGATTAATAATACGATACATAATTTGATTAATATTTGTAGAGTAATTTTAATCCAGTATGAATCTGCAGTGTGTGTAGTTTTACAGTCTGACAGTAATAATTGTGGAGCGATTTTAATCCAGTATTAATCTGCAGTGTGTAGTTTTACAGTCTGACAGTAATAATTGTGGAGCGATTTTAATCCAGTATGAATCTGCAGTGTGTGTAGTTTTTACAGTCTGACAGTAATAATTGTGGAGTGATTTTAATCCAGTATGAATCTGCAATGTGTGTAGTTTTACAGTCTGACGGTAATAATTGTGGAGTGATTTTAATCCGGTATGAATCTTCAGTGTGTGTAGTTTTACAGTCTGACGGTAATAATTGTGGAGTGATTTTAATCCAGTATGAATCTTCAGTGTGTGTAGTTTTACAGTCTGACGGTAATAATTGTGGAGTGATTTTAATCCAGTATGAATCTGCAGGGTGCAGTAATAACTGTAATGTGTGTTACCTGGCTGTGTTCTGCTGCTGGATGAGGGGGGTGGAAATGGTTCCTCTGGCTGAAAGCAGAGCAGCAGAGAGACACACACTGAAAGCGGCACTGGAGCCCAAACCTGCACCTGTGGGCAGCTCTGACCACACACACACACTCAGACTGGGCAAAACCCTCAACACAACACACACACACACACACAACATACTGCATAAGTATGACACATTTACATTTATTCAGAACTATTACAGAAGCAATGTGTCTTTTTAAACTATATAAACTGAGTCTGTTCTACAGTTTCTCGTTAGGTTGAATGAATAACTGACTCTAAATGTAGGTATTGTGATATAAACTGAGTCTGTCCGACAGTTTCTCATTAGGTTGAATGAATAACCGACTCTAAATGTAGGTATTGTGATATAAACTGAGTCTGTTCTACAGTTTCTCATTAGGTTGAATGAATAACCGACTCTAAATGTAGGTATTGTGATATAAACTGAGTCTGTTCTACAGTTTCTCATTAGGTTGAATGAATAACCGACTCTAAATGTAGGTATTGTGATATAAACTGAGTCTGTTCTACAGTTTCTCAAGATTTTGTAGCAGCTCATTCAACCTCAAAACAGCAGCTATGAAAGAGCACATTTTTGGATGGAATATGGTTGATTATGCTATACCTGTATAACATAACAACATAACAGTTTAATTATTTCCATCAACCACTTTATTTTAATGTACAGTGTCATGTAATAAGCATTGCAATGTATTAGTATATTAATACTTTATAGCGCTTTATATACTTTCAGTGCATACTTTTATACCCAATCTGTGTTTTTTGATTTGCTCACAGTTGTTGTGTATTTGTGGCCATTTGCTATCATCATTGCGGAACAAACGACAAAACAAAAACTCAGGAACAGAACAAGATATGGACTAATACTTACTCTGTGTCTGCAAACACTCTCAGGTAGATGTAGAGGAAGGCCAGAACTGCCATGCTTCTGGTGTCGGTGGAGCCTTCAGTGATGGCTGTAAACTCTCGCAGCCTCTTCACCAGGTTTAAATCCAGCTCACAGGAGCTGCAGTCAGCTTAGATAAAAAGTAAGAACAAACTATGAGTCAAGAACATGGGAAGGTCTTCAGCTTCGGGCTACTGAAATTTTCAGAAGGATATCAATTAAACCTTCTTTTTCCCTCTGATTGCCCTGGATGGGACCTCTAAAGGGAAATATGGCTGTGGGACTGTGGGAATCACATCCTGGGACATCCTTACCTTTCCAGCCAGACAGTAAGGACTTCAGGGCTGTAATGTCCCAGGACAGGAAGGTGTCGATGTTAGGAAGATTGATGCACACTTCACCAGCGGACGTGGCCTGCAGGCGCAGATATGTGCGCAGGTTCAGGCTTACGGCCAGGGCCACCTACAAACACAGAGGTCAAAAACTTTACCAATTTAATTATTGATCACTGATATTCTGACATCGTGATACATTGTTAAGCATGTACTCACCTTCCCATGAACGACTGCATGCTCACCATGCAGGATGGACTTGCCTGGGGCCGAAATGAAGCATTCCCTCACGTGCATCTTCAATATTAATATTTATGAATGTGCAGTGCTGGAACAGAAGTGAAGTTCATCAGTTAAGAGTAGATTGAACCAGTTTGTTGAACTGAACTGTAAAGTTAAGAGGTTAAGAGGCTAACATGCATAGTTACCCTACCATGATAGTTGAGGGGAAACGCCACCAATTTTTCAAAAATTTTTGCGTAATTAAACAGTAAACAGATCAGGAAAGTCGTTCAGAGTGGTTTGGTGTAAAATGTTCCGTTTTAGAGAAACTTGCTGAGCCAGAATTGTTCACAGTGGTGGTGATAGGAACCAGACGTCCACCTCTAAAAGCTCCCTCACAGAAAGTTATTACATGAAATGGATGCTGTTTTATGATAAAGTTTTTGGTCTAAAACGTTTGATTTTAATTCATTTATAGTGGAAGGATACATGCAGGGTGTTGTGAGGCAAACCAGCCCCACACACACACACACACACTCCCCCAAGAACTTGTTTCATCAGATTTATGACTATTTTATCATCATTAACTTTACATATAAAAACTCAGAAAGCACATGCAGGCTAGAGGCTAGAGTTTGGATAGTAAATAATGTCTATATTAGTGTTGTAGTCCTGGTGACCCCTGGTTCCTATCACCACCACTGTAAAGACATCTGAGTCTGTACGTTTCCTACGAAGCCCCTCTGGTGACATCTTGCATAAATAAAAATAATGCGTGGCCACGACTTAGTAAGGCGCATGAATGAGATGATTAAGTCGTGACCACGACTTAGTAAAGCATGGGAATGAGATCCTAATGCGCGGCCACGACTGATCTCGTTCCCGTACTTTATCATCTCATTCCCACGCCTTACTACGTCGTGGCCACGCATTAGGATCTCGTTCCAACGCGTTAATAAGACGTGGCCGCGCATTATTTTTATTTACACCGGATGTCATCATCAGGGCTCCGTACGTTTCTCTACAAATGTAGAATTTCACATCAAGCCACTCTGAATGACGATGTATTTACATCTCAAACACTGACCATTAAGTAATTCTATAAAATCGGTGGAATTCCCCTTTAACGGTAGAATCATGGTTATCTACTCGAGTCACAGTGACTTCCACAGTAAAACCAGCATTGAAATGACTTGAGACAACATGAGTACGAGCTCTACAACCAGACCAATGTAGTTAAAACTCACCACACAGTGTCTTTGTGTCGAATTGATCCTGAAATAGCGAATTTACACGCATAAAAACGTAAATAAGGTAAGGAAAAGCCAGTAACCGCGCGCAGATCTTTACTCTGTAGTCAATCTCACTCCGCAAACTCTCTTTGCCCGCCTAGTGACGTAAAACAGCCTGCCGAACAGACCAATCAGAGCGCGACTCTCCGTGTACCGACCATCCAACATCCAATCAAAAGCCACGTTTCCCGCTCGTGCTGTCGTCGGGCGATGGAACACCCCGGCCAGCCCTCCTACGGGTAGCGACGGAGGCCAAACATAGTGACTTGTAAACACAGACGGCTCTAGAATGGCGTTGTGAAATTGAGCTGAGAGGATCATGGCAGCGGCCGCGGCTCGCTGTGTGCAGCTCCGCTGTGTCCTCCGACCAGCCGCGTGTGTGCGGGCGATACAGCCTCCCTGTGGAAGCGAGAGAAGGTAGCTCGATATCTGACTTCAGAGAGTGAAGCTAACCTTCGCTGCTGTCAGTCTACGGCGAGGCTGGAGTGGGCCTTTCCGTTCCACCTTAAATGGGGCAGCAGTCGCACAATGATGCTTGGACAGGCGGTAGACTGAATGCGACTGTTGCAACATTTAAGGTGGAACGGAAAATTCGAAGAGACGCTAACGCCAGCTTCGCCTCTACACTAGTGATTTCCTTGCTTGCTCCTAGCCAGAGACATTACGGAGCACATTTGGGTGTTTTTTTGCTCCAACGTCTCAACTTTATCCTCCAGAACGGCTTGTAAATGAGCTGAAGAGGTGAATTGGGTGCGTTATAGTAGGAAAACACTGAAACATGCAGGACAGATGGCCTTCAGCATCAGGAAACTGAACTAATTACTGAATTGTTCTGTACTGTTTGTGCTTTAGACTAAATATACCGAGTTTATATGTCTGCCTATCTGTCTGTCTATATCTGTATACATGAACTGACCACTTCATTAAAACCTCCTTCTTGTTTCTACGCTCATTGTCCATTTTATCAGCTCCACTGACCATATAGGAGCACTTTGTAGTTCTACAATTACAGACTGTAGTCCATCTGTTTCTCTGCATACTGTTACCCTGTTCTTCAGTGGTCAGGACCCCCATGGACCCCGACAGAACAGGTATTAATTGGGTAGTGGGTCATTCTCAGCACTGCAGTAACGCTGACGTGGTGGTGTGTTAGTGTGTGTTGTGCTGGTCTGAGTGGATCAGACAAAGCAGTGCTGCTGGAGTGTTTAAATACCTTAGTGTCGCTGCTGGACTGCGAACCAGAAATACCCAGCCAACAGCGTCCTGTGGGCAGCGTCCTGTGACCACTGATGAAGGACTAGAGGATGACCAACACAAACTGTGCAGCAGCAGATGAGCTATCGTCTCTGACTTTACATCTACAAGGATTGTAGGACTGACAGGTAGGAGTGTCTAATAGAGTGGACAGTGAGTGGACACTGTTTAAAAACTCCAGCAGCACTGCTGTGTCTGATCCACTCATACCAGCACAACACACACTGACACACCACCACCACGTCAGTGTTACTGCAGTGCTGTGAATGATACATCACCCAAATAGTACCTGCTCTGTGGGGGTCCTGTGGGGGTCCTGACCACTGAAGAACAGGGTAACAGAGTATGCAGAGAAACAGATGGACTACAGTCTGTAAGATATATAACAGTCTGTTATATAGTAAGCGGAGCTGATAAAATGGACAATGAGTGTAGAAACAAGGAGGTGGTTTTAATGAAGTGGCTGATCTGTCTATATAAATATGTCTAACCATTGATATTCTCCTACTTTTCTGAGGCAGCTATACCACAAAATCGGAAGACCGAATTCCGAAGATATACACCAAAACAGGAGATAAAGGTTTTTCATAACATCTTTTGGCCTTATACATTCATAACCTGCCATAAAACCTTCCATTTTAGAACATTTCTGAAAAACGGTTCACAGTCTGAAGCAAAGTGGGTTCTGTTGTTTCCATTTCATCAGGATTTTCCAGCACGTTCACCGGAGAGAGGAGGCCGAAGGAGGACCACATATTTGAAGCCTTGGGAACAACAGATGAGCTGTCATCAGCCATAGGGTGAACACTACAGCCGTGCATGGTTCTGCATGTTCTACTGCTTACCTGTTTTATGATGACCACTCTGATAAGCCGAAATCCAAGATAAAGCCCTGTATGTGTCCTCTTTCAGGCTGGCCAGAGAGTTTTGCCTTGAGAAAGGACATTCCTTCACAGATCAGCTAGACAAGGTGTGTATGTATTTAAGGTGTGTATGTATTTAAGGTGTATGGATGTGTTTATGTGTTTAATGTATTATAGCAGGTTGGAGGGCAGTTTCTTGGGTGTGTTCACACTTTGTCTTTTCCTCATACAGATCCAGTGTGTGCTGCAGGATGTAGGCTCCAACATCGCAACTCCTCGCTCGTCAGCCAGAGAGAGCCACATCAGTATGTAGGGCTTAACTTGAAGCAATGTTTTACACAGTGCAGTTGTGAGCTGTTATATCTGATGAATATTAATATGTGATTAAGCTGACCGGTTTAATGCTGACTGATGAAGAAGACAATGGAAGATCAGTAAACATCAAAATCTGAGGTTTAACAGTACAAATGAATGAGGGGTCACTATTAGACAGACAACAGGTCACTGTAGCCCTTTTTATTCATGTTATAAATTCTTATGAATGATTTTAAGATCTTTATTAATTAAATAACCATTAATAATCTCATTTTAAACCATTACACCAACATTTAAAGTGGTATCACTTTATTATATTAGCTTGTGCTGACGTTTGGATGGTCAGTACATCATCAGTGACATGATTGATTACATTTGTGTCAGTTTGATTTTTTTGGTAAACCATTCTTTAAAGTGAGAGTTTTGGCCAAACATCAGATTTACCCAGTTTTCTTGCTTACACGATATGTATATAGCACCAAAAGGGTTCTGCTGTTGTTATGATGTTAAGCTTGTAACAATAGAAAAGGCTTTTCGGTGCGGTATAGAACCATTTTCAAAAAATGTCCTATACAGAACCATGTACAGCGCATTCTCCAACAATCTGAGGAACCATTTCACCATGCAAAGAATCACCATGTAAGCATGAAATTATTCTATATAGAACTCATGGTTGTAAATAGAACCATTACCTTGAAGAACCAGCCAAGATGGTAAAATGGGCATTAAATGTTGTGGCTCCTAATATGGTTGATTTTTATTGGAAGGACAAAATGGCTCCTCTTGACATTTGGGTTGCGACCCCTGAACTGGCCGTATAACCCACGTATTTTTTCAAACCCTGTTGGAAACAGCTAAGCAATGAAGGCTTGCACAGCGTTTGTTGTTGTTTCAGTCAGTGTTTTTTTCTCATTCTAATCCAGAAAAGACGAAGTTCAGCAGTCAGCCTGTGGCAGAGCTGGAGAGCTGGATTGATTCCTACACAGAGGAGCTTCCTCCGCTCACCAGCTTCATACTACCTGTGAGTTTGTTTGCGCCACCAGATTATCTGTAGCGTGAGTGTGAACTGTGCATGTTTACTGTGGTGAATTTTGGAGTTTATAACCCTGTAACTAACATGGTGAAAAAATGTGACAAACTATTCCGTACAAGCATTTTCCTGGACAAATATTATTATTATTTTTTAGTTTAAACCTTTTTTAGCCGAGGCTTAAGCTTAAAGGGGAATTCCATTGATTTCTATTGACAAATTAGTGAAATTGCCCTTTATTATGAGTCTGAGGAGCCAGCTCTTAATATAATCACAGTAGGTGTCTCTGACTGAGGTTTAGCAAGTTGTAGCAAACAAAAAAAGCACCAGCAGTGCTAAAAAAACAATATCAAAATTAAATTATTTAGTATTCTGTGTTTCACAGTGTTCACTACACTAAATGCAATTATAAATGACTAATTCTGCTCTCAGCATATTGTGATAGTTTATCATTATTGTTGAATCATATCATAGTGTCCAGCACTAGTGATGCAATTTTAAGGTGGGAAATGCATGTTTTGGCTGTATTTGCTGTTTTATGGCTTTAAACCAATGAGAAAATATTGCTCAGTGTGTCTTCACAGCGTCTCAGTTTTCTCTTGTCCTCTAACTGTGGTTGATGTTCTGCAGTCTGGAGGGAAGAGCAGTGCTGCACTGCATGTTGCCAGGGCTGTGTGTCGGCGGGCAGAGCGCTGGTCAGTCTCACACACACACACGTTTTTACGAGTCCTTGTAAATAAAGTAGGTAACAGTAAATTGTAGCTCCACAGTGCAGGCCAAACAGTGCTTTACTTCACCGACAGTGCATTGTTTTGTATTCTGTTTGATGCAGTGGTCAGTTCCACCCACATAATCTGATTGGTCGATCCGTGTTGTTACATCAAATAAAATAACATGACCTTTTCAATCATAGCTGTATCGCTCTCCTGACCGCTGGTCGCTAAGTGAAGTCGCTTTACTCTAAGCGGCTGGAACTGCTTCTTTAGGTGGAAACTTGTCAGTTTAAAAATACATATTTGAAAATACATGAGAGAAATATTTGGGCTTCTTTGCTTTATTTTTTATTTATGTTGTAAAATTGATGTGTAACAGCAATAAAACTCTGGAGGTCTTAGTTTTGTGGCTGTAGAACAGTCTTTATTCAGTAAATACTATGAAACTAACACAAGTTATATTGTTAGGAGAATCCCTAAAGGCCAGGTTCTCAGACCCAGATCAAGCCTAAGACTAGACTGAAATTGATTTCCAGCAGTGAATTGCCATTAGTGCTGCAGTTTAGTCCAAGACTAGGCTTAATCCATGTCTGGGATCCTGTTCATTGAGTTTAAGGGGTTAAATGTGATCACTAACTGTAATCAGCATCATCTCTGAAGATCCTATGAATCACCACTGTGACATGTTTAACCCTTTTTCTCTGTGTTTCTCTGCAGTGTGGCTCCTATAATCCGCTCCGGTGAGGCCGACCCTGATGTTGGGAAGTATCTCAACAGGTAAACCACTGAAAGGAGATCAAACTGGGTCTGAATTCGTCCCACTGACACCTTTTTCTATATTTACTTTAGCAGTAAGCTAAACTAGTCACACTGCTGGTACAACCGTATACAGTCGAGTGCAAAGGTCTGAACTCCCCCAGTCAAATGACATGATTTTGCTGAGTTTCTAAGT